TAAATCTTTACTAATTAATTTTGTTTGAAATTTTCCAAAAAATTAAAGGGGTTTTGTATTTACATGCAACAAAATTTTGAATATGTTTAAACGCGTTTCGCGCAACTTATCTATGTAACGTGCACAAATTTGGATTTTTGAGCCCGGATCCAATATATAATTTGGCACGTGATCCCCTACCCTTAAAATAATATCAAGTGACGAATTTTTACTATATGTTGCAGATCGCCCTATTATATCATAATTTATATTAATATCACAAAAATGAAAATTAATGTCCAATTTCCGCCCACATGTACTACATAATGTAGACTCGATAAGTCGGACAAAAATTTTCTAATATTTAAGTAATTTAATTCGATAAGTCGGTTTACTCGATAAGTCGGTCATATGAGCTCACCCCCACATATATAGTTACACAACGAAATTTCAACACTCACTGCTTGTAACTGAATTTAAATATTGAATATATATATATGCACAAAAATCGTATTATTTTATAAGAGAATGTTGTGGCAAATGATTATGACCAATGTGCCCTCTATCAGATGACCAGTATTAGTGCTGTAAAACGTTAATAGTGCGTGGCGCAACATTCTATTTTATGGTGTGATGTACACTTTGCTGCAGTACGCCCTGAAAGCATGAGCCAGCCATTTCACGTGAACAGTCAACAACACAAATCGGTTTCTGAACCATATATTATTTACTCACTTACTCGTCCGATATATAGAACCAAACTTGTATGTCCTTAGGACCACCAGGACTGGGTCGAACTTTTCCATTCTAATCGGATATTTTATTGTATAAATAAATGAATATGTAATAATGATAATTTAAAGAAAGAAAAAAAATTTTTTTTTGGGAATTAGAGAAATTAGAAATAATGAAAATGAAAATGGAAACTGGATGGGATAATCAAATGGATTTTTTTAAAAATTTATGTGACGCCAAATTTTACCTTCACACCCTGGTGATAATAATAAAAGTATAATAAATAATGTGGTGTATTACTGAAAGAAGCGAATTTAATAAAAAACGCGAAATAATAGTTGTTAATATTAATAATAATTATAATAAGGGGAAAAAAAAAAAAAGAACAAAAGATCACGACCGTTTTGTAATATATATTATATATATATATATATATATATGCAAAGAAAAAAAATTATCCATTGTTAAAAACTTGTGTAACAAACAAAAAATATGATCTAAATTTCAAAAAAAAAAAAAATATATAATTTTCCTGGTCATGTGGATTAATTATAAATAAATTATATGGCTGCACAATTATGTCATGATAATAATAATAAATAAATAAATAAATAAATAATATCAGTTTTATTCACTCTTTCTTATTCACTCATTCACATACTCTTTATTCATATTCTCTCATTGTTAATATTTTCGATTTAGAAAAAACCATTAAACAAAAGTTTCTCATTAATACATTAATCAATAATTTACGTACATTATTTACAAAAAAATTTTTTTCTAAACAATGAATTTCGAACAATGAATGAAATTTTTTTTTTTATTGATTCGAAAGTGCATTCTGTGAGTTGCATATAATTTTTTTATATGTGTGGGGTATGTAAAACAAAAAACTATTTTTCTCGGGCAATTTTGAATGTATGCACGTAATACAGTAATACACAGAATATACATTATATCAAATTTTTTGGCGCATCAGGCGGCAAAAAAATAACGACGATCCCATTAATCATTCGATTCGAGCTAGACTCAGAGTTTCAAATTAAGCTTTGTTTGTTTAGAGAAAGTCTGTTTTAAATAGTAAATAGTATAGTTGTATTATTTTGTAAAGAAAAGTTTCATCATTTTTATCGGGATTTATTTACAAATAAACAAACAAACAAACAAACAATATAATATGACGAGTTATTATTATATTATAAAGTAACTTTCAAAAAAGTATTTTTCCATTTATTTAATTTTTTGGAAAAATCACAAATTTAACTTGAAAAAGTTAGTAAACAAATAATAAATTAGTAGAAGAAGACACAACAAACAATATAGTAAAAACAAATGATAATGTAAATCATTCGATTCCATCTTCTCTCTCGTCAATTAAAGAAAAACCGCACCAAGCCGAACAAAACAAACAACAAATAATAAATATTGGCAACCAACAAACTTATCTGACAATAACAACAACAATCACCTTGACAACAATCGTTTATTTATTCTCGATATAAATTTGGTCAAATTAATTAATTTACAAAATTTGTGGGAGGATTTAATTTAACATTTAGTTTAATTTATGAATTAGGATTTTGAAATTAATTTAGTAGTACGCAGTTACATAAATTTTTTATTTTATTAATTTCTTAATTTCTTAATTCTTAAAATTCTTAATACATACATCATATAAATTATTTATGCTTAATACATCAAATAGTAATAATCTTAATAATAATCATAATCATAATCTTATCTACTTTATAAAATTTAAATCATAAAATTTTCTTCTTTTTTTTTTTAAAGCTCTCTCTCTCTCTATCTATATATGTGTGTATTTATATATACACTGTAACTTATTGTCTGTAATATTAAAAAAATCTTAAGCAAAATAAAAAGTTTGTTATCAATATTGATAAATTTCTTAAAAATCTGTTTTCAAAGATAAATCATGATTGTTTCTTTTTAAATTATTGTCTTGTTCTTTTTTAATAATAATTTTAGATATTGAAGTATTGATATTATCATCATCATTATATCGAGGTTGAATATTTTTCTTTAATAACAAATTATTACTACTACTAACATTATCGTTATAATTAATCTCATTAGGATTATAATTAAACATATTAGGATTATACATTTCGTCAAAATCAAGGGATTGATAGGATTGATAGAGATCATATTCGAGTAAATTATAAACAACATTATCAATTTTTTGATCGAAAATTGGATAATCAGCGGGATAATCAAGAGTTGGTGAATTGTTGTTGATTGAATAATTAATAAAATCAGTAGTAGCAGTATCAGTGTTATTAGTAATGGAAGGAGGTGAGGGAGGTGTAGAGGTGTAGTCGTATTGATGGTGATAATAATAATGTGGATATAACAAATCGGCAGCGGCGGTAGTGACAAATTGTGGAGTTTCGAAATCGATTGAATCTGCTGCATATTGTAAATCATCGAGATAATTGAATTGATCTATTATTGAAGATGATGAAGATTGTTCTTGTTGTGGTGGTGGTGGCGATGATGGTGTAGAATAATAATAGTTATTATTCAAAGAATAAGAAGAAGGTGGTGGTTGTTGTAGTTGTAGTTGATAATGATGACAAGGATGATTATTTTGAGAATTATTGTTTTGATGATGAAATTCCAAAGAAGATGGTAAAGGTGAAGGAGTAGCGACATCAGAAGTAGATGGACAATAATACAGATTATAATGATTTGACAAATGTGGTAAATTGGGAGTATTAGGAGAGGATAAAATCGGTGTAGTAGTACCACTAATTCGTTCAGATTCCAAAGAAGAAGAAATTAAATCTTTATTGTTATTATTAATGTTATTGTTGTTGATTCCGATATCGCCGCTTTTTCTTCTTTTATTAGTATTATCGTTAAGGTCATAATCATCAATTTTTTCGTTTTTAAAAATAATTTCAGTTGGTGAAGAACAATTGCTACCGAAAGTTGTAATTCCATTATTGTCAACGATATTATTGTTATTATCAACAACTATGATATTGTTATTGTCATCAACAGTTACGCAATCGGTAGCAATGGTAGTGGCAACACAAGATTTCTTTCTACGTGGTTTATAAACATAACCTGGATTGATTTCGCTATGTTCACTTTTCGCAATACTAGCAAGCATAGTAAAAACACTTTTAACTTCGGAGGTGGATTTAGCCCAAACTTCACTGGCGAGGCCCGAGACGACAGGTACTTGCAGTTTGTAATTGTCGATAGCGGTTTGAAACATTGTTCTAAAGATAAAAAATTTGTTTGGTGGTCTTGCAGGTAAATCGGAACATTTTGCTTTTTTGTAAAAAAATCGATCGCGAATTTCTTGTGATGTTGGTACAGGAATTTCGATTTGAACTCCATCTTGTAACGTAACAATAACCTTGGACGTGTCTAAGGTTGCACGAATGACATTATTGTTATTACCGCCGGTATTACTGTTATTGTCGTTGTTATTGTTACTATGATCGTTATTATTATTGTTACTGTTATTAACATCGTTGATTTCTTCATTAATATCATTGCGATTATTATTATCATCATTATTATTAACAGAACTGGTACCAACACCAGAATAATTATTATTATTATCCATGTTATTATTATTATTTTTTGAATAGGAGGAACTATGACGATGATGATAAGGTTTGGGTGATTTTAACTGTGGCATTATTAGTAAAGTAAAAGAAGAAGAATCAAAATCTATATAGATAAGAGAAAAAGCAAAGAAAAGAAGAAAATCCGTTAAAATAAAATGTTTTTTTTGATTAGTAAGAAAAAAAATAAAGGAAGAAAAATAAAGAAAATTTAAAATTTAAAATCTAAAAGCGTAAAAAAAGAGTATAAAATTTACAATCGTAAAAAAAAAAATTTGTGTTTTTTTTTGGTTTTTTTTTAAAGATTTTTTTTTTTTTGAAATTATGCACTAAGCAACTACCAGAGTTGAGAATTCTGGAATATATTTTGATTTTTTATAAAGAAGAAGAAAAAAAAAAATGAAAGGCTTTTTTTTTTTGGATATTTGATTAAATTAACAACAGTATATATATATTTTTTTTTAAAATATAATAATAAACTAGGTGAATAGATATAATATATAATTAATTATTATTTGTCAATTTATAATTTATTATAAAAAAAATTTTTTTATATATATGCGCTATATCCAAATAATAATTGCTATTATAATAGAATATATTATGTGTGTGTGTGTATGTGTCTGTCTATATATATATATCATTATTATTTAAAAAATTTTTAAAAATAATTTAAAGAAAATAAAAATAATCCTTTTGTTTTGATTGTTTATTTAATTTGAAATTCTGAAAATTTTTGGAATAAAAAATTTTCTAAATTCTATTTCATATTATTATCTAATTGTCTAATTATTGCAGGAAAAACAAATATTTATGTATATACAATAATCGAATCAACCATAATATATAACAAACCGTTTTTAATCGATTATTCCCGGTTTAATCAACCAACTATCAATAAGGTTAGATGTTGGTTAGATGTTGATGCTTGTGTGCGTGCGTGCGTGCGTGCGTGTGTGCGTGCGTGTGTCAATAGACACAATCAATAAACGTCAGAATATGTCAGCAAGTTAATCAATGTTCATACAATCAATCAATCAAAACCGATTGATTTTTATTGTTTGATTAGATTTATGATGTGAATGGTGGTGATTGAGGCTTAAAGCGGGCGAGCTCGAACTATTAATCAAACTATGTAATTTGGCTGGTTAAACTCGCTGTTAGGCTGAGATTATGTCTCTATATTGTTGTAAACTTCTGTTAAAAATTATTTGAAAAAATTTTAAATACAATGTAAAAAAAATTAATTTTTTCCGTGGAATTTGAATTTATTTAAATATTCATATTCATATTCATTCATGTTCGTATTTATACATTCATCTTCATATATTCATATTTATATTTATATAAATGGATTTTATAAAAAAATCTTTTTTTATTTATGACTTGAATCCATTGTTTTCCTTAAATAAAAAATAAATAAATAAAATCATATGTTATAATATATTTAACAAACAATTTATGTTAATCAGTGTGTAGTATTTATTTGTAAAACTTTATTTCAAATGGAGATTTTTAATTGAGCTCAATCATTATTATATATATAAAGGAGTTTTAAATTAATGATTTATGCTATGTGTTGTGTGTGTGACAGAGATTTTGTGATAGTTTAGATCGATCTTTAACTTAAATTATAAAATAAATATCAAGATTTAAAAATATATAAACAGTAAATATATAAATTACACCCTAGAAAATATATATGTAAGCACGTGTTTAGATCGTAGAACTAAGTTTGGATATTTCTAATTTCAAAATTCCTTAAAATGAATATATAAAAATAAAAAAAAACTAATTTTTTAACAAATAAAAAAATACAAGGAAAATTTTCATTATTATAAATTATTTTTTACAAAAAAAGAAAATAATCAAGTTTTTCAGTTTTTCCATTATCAGTTTTTTACAAAAGTGGTGGTGTATGTATTGTATTTTGAAAACAAGCGGGTGTGATTTTTTAAAAAATTTGTATCACAATTTTTTATTACACAAAATTTAATTTTTAAAAATAATTTCACTTTGGATTCATGAGATATGTAATCTATTCATATCCTCTTTTCCCATTTTATAACCTCACCACCTGGGTTATATCCAGCCAGCTATGAAAGTTCTCATTCATGCTTGGGTCTTTATTCTCTTCGACCACTGAAAATCTGGCCTTAATCTCAAGTGGATTGAATTCATCAAGATGATACAACAGTCATATTTTAATTCAGATCTTTTTTAATACCTACCTTTAAGGAATGAATAATTCCCATTTCTCTTCCCCAAATCTGTGATTTGTAAAATTTTCCTTTTTTAGAGCAATATTTGAATTATAGTTATTCAATAGTTGCTGATACTATGATACTATATATATAGAGTATCAAGAACCATTTGAGATCAGATTTTTCTTCATTGACATAATTATTGGTTTTTATTTTTACAACAATATTAGCTGCTGACAAACATTTATTATATATGCCTGGCAAGCACCAATCCATTTTAACACGGTTTGTTTTTCCTCTGAATTAGTGTTCTTTCCTAGATGGATGGGGTTTTTAGAAGAAAAAGATGAAAAGTTACATCTTTTTTAAAACCCTTCCATATACAATCTGATAAAAGAAGAATATGATTTAAATCATAAGGTGTTGGTTTAATTTAAAATCAACCACTACAAGATTTCACATAGTGAAAGCATTGAGCATAACAACCATTTTTACAATATTTTTACAATAACTTCCATAATATTTCATTAGTAATTATTTGTAAAACCATTGTAAAAATGGTCGTTGTGCTCAATGCTTTCACTATGTAAAATCTTGTGAATTACATTTTTTCTATCAGTGAATTGTAACCCATGCATGACCCAAGATTTAGTCTTTTAAAGAACATCTCATTAACATGGGCACATTAATTTACTAGTGGTTTTAAGTTCTCGAGTGAAATGGCTTTATGATGTATTTGTACATTTGAAGAAGTTTAATATTCCTTTTTAAACATTTTTGTAAGGAAAGTTGTAAATAATTGGTTTTGTGTCACGCGAAAGTGGATACTAATTTATTTATTATTATCTGGTGTGATATTTATCCGCCTGTAAACATATTACGATATGTACAATGGTCTTTTTTTTTTTTTACGCAATTCCCCCTCCTTGCATCCAATATTCTTGTTCTTATTATTATCAGATTGTAAAAATGTCAAAAAAATATTTTCTATCAATTGTTAAAGAAATCTTTTATATTCACAATAAATGTGTTATTATTATTAGATGCATGGTCCAATGAATAGAATGCAAGCAGAACGTCAATTTTTGCGTTAATTAATAAAACAATAACTATCTAATGTATACCATATAAATAATTTATACTTTATTTATTTTATACTATATTCTAACAATATGCCTCAATTAAAGAATCTTAATTTGGTTACATTTATTATCTATTTTTTCTACAATAACTTCTTTATATTCCATTGTATATATTTATATTCATTTGTTTATATTTATTTAAGAGAAAAATTTCATTTTTAAAATTTAAAATTATCAATCAATGCCAAAAAAACATCAATAAAATTTTTCTTCCATTTTTACATATTTATATTTATTAATCATGATGATGTAATCATTACAATTAAAATAAATCTTCTGGAGAAAAATATGTTTGATAAAGTATGATGGACATGTATATTTATCTATTTATTTGTTTATCTAGGATCAATCTTCTTAGATGTAGAATGACAGGGCGGGTAATGCTTATGATGTAGAAATGGCACAGTAATCCACACGAGATTTCCTTCTTTTTCTATCTATCATTTTCATAACAATGACTGTGATATCTGGATAAATGAGAGATTTTTGTATTTAATATGTTGAGGCATATTTTCTGTCAACAATGATAATTAACAATCATTATTATATCTCTTATTTTAATTGTGTAAAATATACACAAGTTATTTGAATAAATGCCAATTCTATTTTCTCTCTTTCCCATAATTAATTATTTGTGACCCACTTTAGAAATATATTGCAAGATGACGCCTCCTAATCCTGACCCTTATTCCCATTTTCATCCTCGTCCTCTTCTTCATTTTGAGTCAAATAATCCATATCATTATTATAATTTTCATTATTATTCCTCAGGAGTGAATTATTATTCAAGAGAATAAATTCTTTATTCATTTATGCTCTTTCTCACACTCATCTCTCTTCATTCATTCATACGAACAAATATATAAATAGATTGAAAGAGTTATTAGATTTCTTGGTTTTTTTTTATCAATCGTGATTTGAACAATCGATCTATTGATCTATTTCTGACAATGTGAAAATTTTTATTTGTTTTCCATTTGGTTATTTTTTATTTACTACCATGTTTATAAAACAATAATAAATAAAGGACGAGAAGAAAGATTATTTGATCTTTTTGTCATGTGATTTATCCTAGCTGCCGATCTCTACATATTAAATGACATGCATTTTGCAAATCCTAATTTACATATTTATAAAATGGCAGCAAGAAATAGTATAAATGCTAAAGGAGAAGCAGCTCCTCAACCTGTAAAAGTTCAACGTTACTGGCCTGGAAAAGCTCCTGTTAGCGTAAAAGTTTATTCATCAGAGGAAGAAGAGGAGGAGGAGGAAGAACAACAAAAACAACAGCAATTATTTGAATTCGTTAATGCTAATAGTAATAATAGTAATAAAAGTAAAAGTAACAACAACAACAACAACAACAACAACAACAACAACAACAACAACAAAAATAATATAAATAGAAGAAAACGACATTATGAGGATATCTCTACTTCTAATACTATAACTACGACATCAACAAAAGCTGCTGCTACTGATGCTCAACAAATAATTGGTCACTATGAAGAAGAAGATTTGGAAGCTCGTAGAGTAAGAAAACAAAAGGCGTTAGAGAAAAGACGTCAAGAAGAAGAAAGACTAAAAGCATTAGAGGAGGCAGAAAAGGCCAAAGAAATTAGTTTTAAAGACAAGAATGAAAAAGAGGAGGTTAGGAAATCTTTTTTTTATTTTGAAAAAAATGATTATAATAATAATAGTATTGTTTCTTTTTGTTAGGATAGTGAGAGCGAGGAAGAAGAGGCATCGTCTGAATATGAGACTGATTCAGAAAACGAAGAAGAGTCATCAAGGAAACTATTAAAACCAATATTTATTCCAAAGTATGTTTGATTTTTATATAAATAACATTATTATTAAATAATATTAATAAAAACTTTCAACTTGATATATCATCCCTCGACTCATATATATTGATTGATAGAGCTCATAGAGAATCAATTCATGAAAAAGAAAGAAAAGAAAAAGAAGCAAAAGAAGCAGAACTTAAACGATTACGAGAGCTTGAAGAAAGAAAAAAAGAATCGCATGCTATGTTAGCTGAACAAATTCAAAAAGAATTGCAGAAAGAATCAGTTGAAAAAGCTACTGCTATTGAGGATGTTGATGATACTGATGGTCTTGATGAACAGGCTGAATATGAGGCTTGGAAATTACGTGAATTAAAAAGAATTAAAAGAGACAAAGAAGAAAGAAACTCGTATGTTTAATAAATAATTTTGAATAACTTGATTTTCAGTTAATATACAATTATATCATTATTTATTAGTCGTGAAAGGGAAAAAAGAGAAATTGAAGAAAGGCGTAATATGAATGAAAAACAACGTCTAAAAGAAGATTTAGAACTAGTGAAGAAACAACGCGAAGAAAAATCAAAAGGGCATTATAAGTTTCTTCAAAAATACTATCATAAAGGCGCCTTTTATTTGGTAATTAGTGAAGAGTGTGTATATATATTATTATCATATAAGCGATATTCATCAAAAATTTTTTTAGAATAATGAAGATGAAATCTTTAAGAGAGATTATACTGAAGCAACACCTGATGAAGCTGGTATGATTCAATTTTGGGAGTTTAATAATATATTATATTTTAATTACTGCATGTATTTATTATTATTATTATTATTATTATTATTATTATTATTATTATTATTTTTTAGCTCATAAAGAACTATTACCGAAAGTCATGCAAGTTAAAAATTTTGGTAGAGCAGGTCAAACTAAATGGACACATTTGGCAGATCAAGACACTTCAAAGGTATTGATTGATTAATTGATCTATTAATTCATTCAGTAATAATAACAATAATAATAGTATTAATACTTTTTATATAAATAATTTTTTATTTATAGAAGGATTCTGCTTGGACACAAAAATCCGATATAAATAAACGTACTGCAACAAAATTAGGTGGATTGCATGGTGGATTTGAAAAACCAACATCTAAAAAGCGCAAAACTTAATTTGTGGTCCGCCAATCAACAATAGAAATATAAAAAGGGGTAATTGTCATATTAAAATAAAGAGCGTCTGGTTCCCCAGATTTATATATTTAAAAAATTCAAGTTTGTTTAAAATGTTACATTAATTCAAAGATAAGACAGACTTAGGAAAAGGCTAGAAAAGCAGGTTTTTAATTAATAAACGGGCCACATTGGAAAAAGTGAGGTTAATCCAATCCCCAAATGAGATGGTAATTTTACATTTTTAATAGTAAAATTTTTTTAGGTTCTTTTACCAGGACCCAGCTGCAGCAGTAACCTATCTATATAGTTTTCAAGTCCTGTTTTACCACATATCAAATTTAATCATAATAGATTTAATATCCCATGATCTACATATTGAGCCACAAACTTACACATTCATCATCATCATTTATTGTAATATAAATATAACTTGTTGGCTAATATTTTTTTCTGTTTAGTTTGATAATTAGAAAATCTGCTCAGTTGATATTATTACTACTATTCATTCATCTTGACCATCTTGATCATTGTGATTGACAAGAGGATCCAAATTTATTTTATTATTACCATTTGGAGATAAATTTACACACACCCCTTTTTTCATCCTCTTTCCATTCTTATAAATTAATTGATTATTTTTTTATAAGACAATATAAATTAAATATTAATAGTAAAATCATAATAATTATAGATTTTATGAAATAAAAATAAAAAAAAAATAATGTATAAAATAATAAAATTAAAAATATATAAATCTTTTATCTTAAATTTTGAGAAGTGTTGTTGTTAACTGGATCAACTGTTGTTAAAGTTTCTGCACTTAAAATAGAATGTGCAGAATTATCCAATTTTTTCCTACCATCAGAAACCAAATGCCATTCTTTTGCATCTTCATATCCCACTCCAAAATCATCCTCTAGAACTTCTGGATGTTCTTGAGCATATCTGTTAAAAACTCTATGTAAACTTTCAACCATTGGATCCCTATACAATGTAATAGCTCCATGTTCCCTATTAATTCTTTCTGTCACTTTGGTTAATCTTGCTTGATTTTTAGGGTGTTTCAAACAATTTTCATTATCTTCCTGATAATATTGCCTTTGTAACCAAAGCTTTTGTTGAGTACGTGACATGACATTTGGTGGTAGTGGTGGTGAATATTTGGATTGATTTTGATTTTGTTGTTGTTGTTGTTGTTGTTGTAATTGTTGCAGTAATTGATATTCATCAAGAAGAAGAGGCAGCTCTGATTCACTTGTAAAAGAATCATTATTGAATATTTTCATATTTTCTGATGTAGGTTCTGTGATGATGGTAGCAATAGATGTTGTTGTTGTTGTTGTTGAGGATGTTGATGGTAATGATGAAAAGTTAGGCTGATTTTTTAAATTAATATGTTTATTCACAATTTTTGTATGATCGTTGTTGTTTGCGTTCTTTAATATTGCTACTGCTGAAGAAGAAGTGTTATTATTATTATCAACTTTATTTAATAAAGATGGCTTGTTGTTATTACTATCACCTCTATTATTGTCATTATCATCCACATCATCATCATCAACATCTTTTTTACCATTATCATTTATTTTAGTGTCACTTATTATACCTCTATTGTCATCATCATCATCTATTTTACCATCATTATCTATTTTACCATCATCACATATTTCACTGTCGTCACCTTTTTTATCATTACCAATTATTTTGCTTTTATCATTATCATCTTTTATTATACCATCATCATTATAATATTCTATCTTACCATCATCATTATCATCTTCTATTTTACCATTATCATCTTTATTAGCAACAATTTTTTTACCATCAGCTTTAATATCATCATCATCTTCACTATTACTACTATTATTATTACTAGCATTATTGGATATTGTTTTATTAACATTGTTTATTAATGTGTTGGGAATATTATCAGAAAGAGCACCATTGGAAATATTTTTTTCAATTGTAGTTGTTTGTGTGGTGGCAATCGGTGTTGTAGTGGTGGTTGTTGTAACTTCTTCAAAAGATTCCGATGTTTTATCTATTTTATCTGGCATGATGATAAATCGATTCCTCTTTTTTTTATTATAATTTTAGTGAGGAAATTTGTTTGTTAACATTAGAAACAATTTATTTTTCATCATGGACAGTTACACAAAATTGGCATTTATTTATATATATAACGCTTTTCGTGTTACAAAACACGCATACCGTGCTACGCGCGAATAAAAATTCAAATAAGTTGGGTTTGCGTCATCTTCATCGCAAAGAGCAAAAAAATGACATCACTCGGGCCAAGACAATAGTCTATTTTATTAAATTCGAAACATATGAATAGG